GCCCTGCGTCGTTAAAGCACGCGATCGTGTCGCCTCTGCCGCTGCTTGCCGCGAGCGATGCCAGCGAGGTCTGCCAGAAAGTAGTTCCGTTGCTACGGTGCGTCGCAGTGGGATGCGAACTCGTGGTGGCGCTTCTCGAGCTCCTCGTTGAGGCGCGGGACACGAGTGCCATGAGCTCGTATGAGCCTTGGGTCCTTTCGTGCTATTGGTGGATAGAATACAGATAAAGGAAAAACAGTGGTTCGAAGACGCTGTTTGGTGCCGACACAGGAACACAGGAAGGAGGCAACGTGCCGGGTCCCTCTTTGTCATATCGGATGGATCTCTGCGTCCGTCCAATGGAACAATTTCGTCTTATTAAATTAATACAAGCACGGGCACCGCTTTGGTCGGGGGTGTTTACATGGCCATCATCATCGCGTTCGTCGTACTACAGACTGCCACGTGCGGCTCTATTTGCGCCACGTGCGCTGCGCGACAGGACTACGCACGATGAGTCGCCAGTGATCCATTGCAAACGTTGGCGCATACCACACAAGATAGTCCAGCGGGGTCACGGCCGGCGGACGCCGCGAGTCCTGCAGCTGGAGACTCGAGAAATGTACATCCAGCGTATCCACTACCAAATAAGTCAGTGGCTGAAGCGAGCACCGAGAATCCTAAGGTGTACCTGGAAGCGGGTTGAGCGGGCGAAACTCCGCGCACTGCGACCGCATCTTCTTGCGGAGGCTCTCTCGGTCTTCGTCGGGACACGCCGTGCCGCGCACGCCACCAAACGCTTCGTACACGACCTCCTTCCGGCACAGCGGACACGTCGTGTGGTTCCACAGCCACTTGTCGACGCAGAGTGCGCTATCAACACACAAATGCGTGACGCACGGCGCGTGTGCCAGCAAAACCTACTGAAAAAAGTGCTGGCACGGCGTCAGCGTCACAATGTGCGACCCAATCTCGTACGCCAATTGGCAAATCTAGTGTTTGTGAGTCGCCGCAAGAGGCCTCGCGAGCGTACCGTGCACTGCTTCGATGTCTCGTGGACCGTGCCGTAAGCGATCGGAAGGCTGTAGCGCACTTCCTTCGAAAGACCTCTGCACACAACGCGAATGAATCGCTCGCAAACGGATACGGGACCGTACTTTTCTTCGTAAAAACAGTCGCTCTCGGGCGAACTCGTGGGCAGCATCGGGTCCACGTCGTGGCACACGGCCGTCTCCCGCCACGGCTTGGCATCATCAGGACGCCCGCTTTCGTCCCTACGCAGCGTTGGCGACCTTTCATGCGCAAGTGCACAGGTACCACACAAAGGACGACGGGTCCATCGCATGCAGATGGTTGAGTTCGTCGTCACTACAAGACACGAGGCTGTCATGCGTCGCTGCTGACGGGGAGGAGGAGAACCTGGAGCTGCAGCTGAGACCGCCCCCACTGTCGTCGTACACGCCAGCCTTTTCTTTGGGCGACCCGCAGCACGATGCACCGCCGCAGCTGCTACTGCTCGACGACGGCACCGGTGGCGACTCGACGATCTCGACCTTGAACGACTTGAGCGTTTCTCGCTGGCGCTTGTTGATGCAGTCCGTCAAGAGCGCGCGGGCCAAGTTTTCGACAACGTCGTTGGAGCGCAATCCGTCCGCTGTGGTGGCAACCGGCGGCGGCGGCGGCGGCTCGGCTTCCCGCGCACGCAGCGTGGCCGTTGCCGCGGGACGAAACATCATGTCTTGGGGGTCTCCGCGGCAATGCGCGACGCCGTCACCTTTGCTAGTGCTTGTTGAGTGTGCTGCTTGTGTCCACGAAGGAGGATTCCACATGTGGTCGGTCGAGAGGCGGCGCGGAGCTGTGACGCTTTTCGCCTTCTTCGTTCGCTTGAGCTTGGCTGCTTGGTCTTCGTGGCGCTGAAACGGCGTCACGGGCGACGGCTTTGTGCCCGATGTCTCGACGTGGCCGCGCGGTGGGCGCGAATGCCACTTGAAGCAGGCGTCTATCGTCGACGCGGAGCTCGCGGCATGCGATCCACTGCTCGGTCGTTTCGCTGGCGCAGCGACGCGACTTAAGCCGGCAGTAGAGCTCGGGGCCACGGCCGGCTTTGTTCGCAGGCGTGGCTTGGAATTGGGAATGTCGATGTTACGGCTACGCGCCGCGGCGGTCGCCGGCGAGACGGCTGTCGACCACTTGGCCAGCGGCACGAAGGCCATCGCGGGCTCGTTGGGTACCGTACTCGTCGTCGCAGTCGTTAATGGGCTCTTGTACTGCTGCTGCTGCATCAAATCGCCATGGACCGTCGCCGCTCTTGTGTTCTTTCCACGAATTGCCGCAACGCCGAAACAATGGACCGCCCAGAGCCCGAAATATAAAAATAATATTCCGCGGCCGAGCCTATCCGGATAACCGCCTCCACCGATGGCGTTTCACTGGCACAATGTAAGCCCTCCGTATCCGGAAGCTATTAAAATCCCCATAATGATGCGACCCCGTCAGCGCCACCATCGAGCGCAACCCCCAGAGCAAAAGGCTCGCACTGCCCAAACGTCTTCGACTAGGGCGATATACTGGAAGGTGGGAGGTACAGTACTGCAAGGGGTACAATAGCTTGTTAAATCCGTTTTCGGATTCGAGTTTCCTGGAACATTGACCACGAAGCGCGAGCATTTGGCTACTGCCCACCTGCGATGATCCATGCCTTCACCACAAGCATAAATTAACTCAAGGAACCAATATAGATATTGCTGATGCCCAAGTGGGCCATGGACGCGCAAGCCGGTGTTGCGATCTTTTCTGTGCGTGACGCCAATGGATTGGCCAGAAGGGAACTGTGTACGCATTTTGATTGGCAGATTTTATTGAAGCCAGTGCCGAGGGGTGGGTTTTATTCTGGAACTGAGCGATGGATTCGCCCTTGCCCAACCGACCGATCAACCCACATTCCGAATACGCACCGTCGCAAAAGCTCATGCAATGCACAGCCAAGACGAGGACGAAGAGCACAGTTGTCTTACATGCCACGATACACAGCGCATCACCGTGCGAGTGGAATCGCGACATCCAACAAGGTCCGCTCCACATCATGACGCTTGATAATTATAGTTAAGTGCACTCGAGTATGGGTTCTCTGCGGCGTATGTCCCTATTGGTTCCAGCAACGCATTGAGATCTCTCTTTTCCAGCCGAGAATTTCACTGTGGGGCACAACAATATGCAGTTT